TCAGTAAGTGCTTCAAGTCCTCTTCACTTTCAGCAAGCAAGGTTGTGTCATCTGCATAACACAGGTTGATAATGAGTCTTCCTCCAATCCTGATGCTCCAGTCTTCTTCATATAGTCCAGCTCTTCAGATTATTTGCTCATCACACAGATTGAATAAGTATGGTGAAAGAATACAAGCCTGACACACACCTTTCTTGACTTTAAACCACGCAGCATCCTCTTGTTCTGTTTGAACGACTGCCTCTTGATCTGTGTACAGGTTCTTCATGAGCACAGTTAAGTTTTCTGGAATTCCTATTTTTCACAATGTTAGCCATAATTTGTTATGTAATTTGTAGGTACTACTTTTCTCTCATTTATAGCTGAGGAAACTGAGACTCTGAAAGATTAAATAGCCATCTAAGGTTCCAAGGATGAAAGCTCAGCTTTTGAACTCAGGTTAGTGGAAAGAATCAGAGCCTAGACTTTTAAAAATATACTCCTGTGTCTTTCATCTATGGAATACCTCCTCCTCTGGAATTCTAGAAAGAGCATATCAGTTTATTTTGATCATTACTGGATTTCAATAATTATTCATATTTAAGGAACAGATCAACTAACCAAACTAGCAATATAATGATAAGGTGGAAGGAAAGAAAGGGAGATTAAGCAAAGAAACATGTTTGCATTTATAGATGAACCTTTGTACCTAGAGTGTGATGTATACTTACGAGACTTTTTTGTGGTGACATTGACAGGAGCACTTGAAGGCCCTGTCCCAGCAGTATTATAAGCCCTCACAGAAGCAAAGTAGACTGTATTTGCCTTCAGCCCTGTGATGTTTTTGACTGTGACATTTCCACTGACTCTAATTTTACCAATCATGGATTCTTTGGAGTCATCTGTCCAGTATAACACCTGATCATTAAGAATAAAGAACAAACAAGTCATTGTTTCCCAACAACTAGGATATGAGAAGGAGACAGAAGCATAAATGACAGAATATTTTCTAAATAAAACAGGTAAACAGCAACAAAGTAATCTGTCTAATACATACAGGGAGGAAATAAAAATACAATAGGTGAATACAGATTCATAATGGAATCTAAAGAACTGGGCATTTTAGTTTACCAGAATAATGAATTTCATGAGATATCTAAGGGTTATCAGCTTTAACAAAAAGCATAAGTCAGACCAAAAGAAGACTCATACCATCAACCAAATACTTCATTTATAAGGCTGTACTTCTGACATTTCTTCCAGAGTTCTTTGAATCAAAGGTTAACTAATCATTCAATTTACA